ATAAATGTTTTACGTTTTATCTCATAATTTTATATTTTTGTTTATCACTTATCAGTTAATAAAAATATAATGCAAAATATTTAAATTGTTAACATATAATAGGTATATTTTTAGTCACCTTCGGCTTCGGCTTCGGCTGACGGTATTCTACAGGCTGAACTTAGCATCGGCTTCGGCTTCGGCCAAAAAAATCACATTCGGTCGGTCTCTAGTTTTAATCAAGTTTTCTAAAAATCATGGCTCTTGCCCAGCAAAATATAGAGGTTCAGAACAGTGATTTTGACTACGGTAATTACACAAACATGCAAGTAAGTGCCAAAATATCAGAACAAGAGCTAGGCCAATTAATAATGAAGAGCGTATACAAGATTACGTATTACTACAGCCACTTCAAACATCAAACCCATCATTCATCAAGGAAAATGAGCAATTTATGCTATCGTCATGCGTAGAAAACATTGTGGATATTTCAGCTGGGACATCCAAAGTCATCGATGATCTAAATAACTAACATTAAATCATCCAGATTAACTGATCCAACAATCACCTACACGCAATAGACTAGTTCTCTGATACTCATCGATGATCTACTATCTAAAGAACTAACATTAAATCATCCAGATTTAACTGACCCAACAATCACCTACATGATAGAATAGGCTAGTCCTCTGATACTAATATTCAGTCATGCTTAGGAACACCCCCAAATCAAGTAAATGACAAAAATTATGTTAGACAGGGGTTCATGTGCTACCATTGCAACATCACTTTTGAAAACAAAAAGGTTTTGAGGCAGCACATATCGAAGCGTCACATGATTTTGGAGCTTTCAGAATCTGATGATGCTTTGAGTTTGACAAATAATACTGAACATTTATTAAAAAAAAAGAAGACTGACAATACGAATAAGGATATAACTAAACAGGAACGAGAAGAACAAAAGTGTTTGAGGAGAGCTGGTAAAACCTACAGAAATGTAAAGGGAAAAGAAGTGAAAAAGAAAGAAAGGCAAAACTTTGTGTGTACTAAATTCTTTCTTAGGTGTAATTGGAACCGTTTCAAAAGTTTTAGAAAATTCATTATAATTTCGATAAAATTTTTTTAAATAAAATTGCTCACGCCATCTCTCTACTGAGTACTTTTAATTACCTTAAGGACTCTACCATAATTCCAAACATATCCGTTAGACGAGAACGTTCCTTAACTTAGGGGAAAAGATACAGCTTCTTTATTTATCTCTTAAAACGTCAAACCGTGAAGACGTGATTATGTTTATGTGGTCTCTTATGGAGGTAAGCCGAAAGAATCCTTTTCTTTTCTACATTTTCAAAAAAATATTTATTTTTAGACCCTTATAGGTGGGGTATTGTTAAACTATTTTTATTTGGCCAAAAGTAATATAGGTATGGAATCGGATATGGTATTCTAAACTCGGCCCAATATTTCTTTATAGTATAAATGGACTCATACTCAATGGTTTAATCCAATCAAATACTCAGAGGGTGAAAATAAATAAATCATATCCTTTTCTTCATAACCATTAGCAGCTGGATAAATCAGGTTTTACCAAATTTTATATTTCTATTCTCTATTGTGCAAGCGAGGAATATTTATGAACTTAAAAAATAGTGAAGTGTTTTACTAATATTTAAATTATAATAGATATTCTAGTTATTAAAAAACTATGTTTTTTGAATGTGAACGAAGTTCGAAATTTGGGATAATACATAAATTCATTTTCTTACTAATTCATAATTTAATATCATGATATAGAACGTTTGTTTACTTAAACGATTTTAAAATTAGTTTTGTATAAACACTCTTCATTGTAATCCAATACTGTAAACACAAGTTGGTGTTTTAATATCTTTTTGGAATGACGTAACTTTTAACGTAGAATCTTTTAATAATGTTTTTTGTTTATTACAAAGAAATAATAAAATTATAGTTTTGTTGTAAAACTTTCTTTATAGTTTATTGTTATGAACGAGAGAGTAATTAGCATAATTTTAACTGGTACATCCGACCACTCCATGGGCGTGCTCAAGATTAATTGAAAAATTACGTTGAATAATTGTAAAAAATAAATGAATTATTTCAGTATTATAAAGTGTTATGTGTATGTAAACAAAAGTGACCTCTTTTATCACACACTATATTAGAACTGACTGGCCTACATTAAAAAGGGTTTTAAAAAATTCACATTTTTTTAATTTTTAAAAATTACAAAAGCGAAAAAGAGTTTTTAAAACCGTCGAAGGTATGTTAATAGATGAATAAAAATATTAATATAAAACTTACAGCTACTTGTTACAAATCCAAATCAGATTCAGAAGATGAACTTTCAGAACCAAGATTTATAATAACTGGCTCGACCATTTTATCAGTAATATTGTCCAGCTTCCACATTTTTTCCTCTTCTTTAATAATGTGATTTACTGCCTTTTCCCGTTTTCAGGTTTTACATTATTTACGGCCTAAAAAACAACTGTTTAACATCATGAATTTTAAAAGTGGTATTTTTTCTTAAAACTTCACTCTTTATCTGTGCCCATACCAGTTCAATCGGGTTTAATTCACAATGATATGGTAGGGATCTAAGTACTGTCATTCCACGATTTTTGGCAATTTCATCAATTTCGTATTTTTAAAATTTTTCTTTATTAAGGGCACACAACAAATAAAGTTCCTTTCTTATAGATCCGGGATGGTACGTAATATTTTTTGAACTCAGGCAATTCTGCAAGTCTTTTTTTAACCACTTGGTTGTGGGCAGTTCTTCTATAAGTCTGGAGTGATAACTTGCATTATCCATTACTATTACACAGTTCTTAGGAAGAAGATCTATCATTTGTTCGAACCATTCTTGAAAGACATCAGCGTTCATGTCTTCATGGTAGTCACCGGTACGAGTTGATTCAAAAGTTAATAAACCACCTTCAACAAAACCGTCTGAACTGCCAATGTGTACTATTATCAGCCTGCGTCCCTTTCCTGATGGTGGCTTTAAACCAGTAGATAAGTTATTTACAAAAGCGTGCCTTTGACTTGTAACAGTTTCATCCTGCTAAAATTTATTTGGTGTATGACCCTCGTTGATCCATGTTTCATCAAGATAAAATATTTTTCTTTTTTGGTTTCTCATTTCCTTTATGGTTATTAGAAAATGTCTTCTCCATATGCCTATTTCTTTTAAAAATTTCCATAACGTACTTCGACTCATTTCTGGGTAATCCTTATCATCTCGAACTGAGACAAGAACTTTATCCAATGTTGGAAATTCTTGTCTAAAGAAGAATTCATGCACTTTCCGTCGAAGTCCTTCTTTAAAATGATATTCTATTTGAAATTTTGGTTTCCCTGGAGCATTACGTGGCATTTGAAAACTACCACATTTCTCTTCTTTAATAACTCTGTAAATCGTAGATTTCCCAGCACCAAGTGTACTGCTAACTAACTCAACGGTCTCATCAACACTTTCACATAAACGTTTGTCTGTAAATGATTTAAAACAATTAAATATTAATGTTTTTTCATTAACTGTTAAAGGACCAATTTTTCGGCGTTTACACGGCACTTCCAAATTTTCCATAACACTAGTATACACAATAAACTGCACCTTGCAACTGAAGTACCTACTTTTAGTGAACTGTTAAGAATTTTGAATACGCCACTTGGACCTTCATACAAAATGGAAAAACCCACTATCACATTTTCTGTGGAATAAGTTTAGAAGGTAATTATCTAGTCAATTACTGTCGTAGATTCCTGGAATTAAAGAATTAAATGTTTGATTGTTGAAATCCTTACTTCGTGGAATGCACTCATTTCAGATAAAATAAAACGTTTTATTTTATCTAAAGAATTAAACTTTATTTTGCAAATAGGTAGGTACTTATTAAACTTTTATTGGTTATATATATAACCAATAAAATAAACATCTTACATTTCTTGCAAATTCATTAGTACCTGTTAACCTCCATCACTCTGACACTGGCAACCTTATTTAGGGATTAGTAACCCTCACAACTATTGTATTCTATTCTGCTCCAACCTTTATACCTGGTGGTCATACTCAATTTAAAATTGTTTTCCTATATACTTCTGTAAACTTGTTGACAAATATCTATTTTTCATTGAAACACCCGTATCAACAGTTTAGGGATTTGCATACATAATTTATTGTTTTATTACTCTCTCATACATAAAAATACACTATAAAATCTTATTTTTTTTTGTCGTTTCCTTTCGAGAATAAAACCGGGATGGTGCCCATCAATAAATTCTAATTTCACATTGCCTATTTAAATTTGAGAAATAATACACAGTTTCGATATGGTTGAAAGAACCACGCCCACTACTCCCTTTCGACATGAGCGACCTGGTCTTGAATATTAATTTGTATGCCAAATGTTTTTTAGGCATGAATGCTATATAGTGACAAATTTTCCGAATCTGTATCGAGGAATGTAAGATGCCAAAATAAAATAACTTCAGAACAATATAAATTGTTTACAAATATAAATTTCAGTACAAATATGATTAAATTTTCGTTGGTTGTTTATCATCCTTCTGTAGTCAATCGGGAGTGTTGGAAATTGTACCTGTGTGTAAGTGTTCGAAATGGATCTACAGAAAGGAAAATGGTTTGTCCTGAAAAAAATAGATGATGAATCGTGAATTTTATTAGGGATAATTTTCTTACAATTGAAATTATATTTTCTATTCAATATTATTTGCAAACTAGGGATCTTTACGTGTTCATAGAAATATCATATTTAACAGGTACCGAAGGTCAACTAACAGGAAATATTCAATCCGACCTGTGATTCGACTTCCAACTTCACCATTCACGCTCCCACTTCGTCGTCAGTCGGAAGTCGAACCTTCAAGTCGTACCTCTAGATGTTCCGACTCGTACCTACCACCAGCCTTCTCATGGTCTGATTTCAGATCCAACTGCGGAAGTTGCACCATTGTCGAACTAAAAATCGGAACGTGAATGACGTGTTTAAATTTTATTCAAAATCTTTTTATTTAGTACTACAAAAGAAATGTTTGTATGGTAATGAATTGTTTTGAAACGAAAGTCCATTTTTAACAAAAAGAACTAGAAAATACCACTTTGTCTTCATTTATTTTATTGTAATTTGGTCAAAATAAGTCACTTTGGTCCTTAATATTTGTAAAATACTATTTTAGTACTTTATAACATTATACATATCCGCTATTAAAAAAGCTATCCACTGTAGAAACAAGACGCCTTAAGTATTCTTCCCTTGACTTTAACTTAACGTCTTTAAGACCTCCCAATATCTCATTGGTATTCTCATCGATCAACGAAGGTGCGTCCTCATTCTCGATATAAAGAAATTCCAAGAACGGTACTACTATACAAAATCCAAATTGAAGAAATTTTTTTAAATGTTTTTGCATAACATGCTTTGGAAACAATTTATTTATGTCACTGCCTAGTTCTGTTAAAAGAGATGATAATTGGCTGTAATAAAATTCTAAAAATTCTTCGAATTGTAGAAAGTCTTCACTTGATAAGTTCCAATAAAGAAAGGCTGAGATATCCAGTATAGGTGAATGAAGACACGTTCCCTGGAAATCAATCAGAGCTACATGTTGGGGGTTACTTCTGTCGTTATTCTGCAAATAATAAAGTTGTATTAAATAATTTCAAAGAATCAGTATGTTTTGTACACAATTGTGAACAAATTGATGACTTAAAAAGAAAAGTACTTACATAGGAGTACTAAGAAGAATTATTTAATAAAAAAAAATTCACAAGGAAAATAATTCCTGCAGCTGGCTGTATACCAAGTATAACAAAAAAGAGGTTAGATCTTTGTAAATGGGTATATTTAAAAAACCATTAAAAGGGCTACAGCAAATTATACGAACATTTTTGGAATAATAATTCCACCATCATGTTTAAAAATGCAAGTTAACATGTCTGAGCCACCTGATCCATTTTTATTATTATTTAATTCATCTATATAACAGATTTAATCAGATGTAATCGTAATATAAGTATAGCCTTAACTGTTATACTGAAACGTGAAAAAAGCCGTCTGGCAATTATTTAATTATTTAAAACACAATTGAGAAGTTTGTTGTGAGAAAGATGTAGCTCCATATTTAGACCGTTTTGGGTAAAAACATATGCCATAATAAAAAAAAATAGCGTTTTGACTGGTATAAGAACGATGCAGATCCGATAATAAATAAAGGAATTATACGTCTTTATGGTGTAACATCATATTTTGCCTACCATATAGGGTATTACTATTGGGGGTTGAAAATTGGCGACAGAAATTATTGGGGTGGAGATAGGGCAAGCAAAACAAATAGAAACTTATGTGAACGGCACTCAGGGTTTATTTGGACAGCTGGGTCGTAGATAAGTAAATGGCAAGGGGGTTGGATTGGGGCAACCATAAAAATGTAACAACAAGGGGTACTTAAATAAATCCCCTGAAACAAATGGGCAAACAAAACAACAGAAAAGACCTCTAGCTATTTAAAATGGACGCCGCGTCGAGGTGCCAAATTATAACGATTACAACAACTATGTAGTTGTAACTAATAAAATAATTATTAAAAATGAAAAATATATCTTTTTAAATGAAACTCAACAAAAGAGTTAGAGAGTAAGTTAAGAGAAATAAACAAAATGGTTTAGGAAACAAATTAAAAATTTATTGTTGTCTCGCCACAAACAGTTATAAAATATGCAAAAATGCTAGGTTAATAGTCACAAAGGTAAATACAAAAATAACAAAGAGAAACACTTACTATGTCCTAGCCGTTTACAAACTCTAGAGGTTGGAGATACCACAAAACTTACTACTGTTACTGGATTATAGTTAGCAGAAATAAGTCATTACAAACAAACATTTTCTTTACAAACTCTTATTAAAGCAATTATTAATAAAAACGTTTATTCTTATGTTTCTTTTAAAATTTAAACACAAATGTTACCTGGGTTGTACTAAAATACTTTTGGGGTGGAAACTAGACGTCGAAAATCCCTTATGTGGTATTATCAAATTAAGAAAACCGTACATTGTTAATTTAAGAACCGCTAACCACCTAAGGCAAATCTGAACAGATACTTTTATTACTTATGCGACAGGCATCCATGACAGGATCAAAACGATCCTACTTTACCTGACTTGACAATGGCAAGTGCGACCTTGCCAAAACGTCGTAAAGCGAATGAGAGTCAGCCGCCTGACCTGCTAACCTCCTCCTCCTCCTAAGTGCCTTCTCTATTGAGGTTGGCGATCAATATGGCAAATTTCTCTCTGTTCAGGGCTTGATGGATTAAGTCATTTCCTGTTGTGTGAGTCCAATCTCTGATGTCTCGGAGCCAGGATTTCTTCTTTCTTTCTATACCTCTTTTACCCTCGATTTTGCCTTCTAATATTACCTAGATAATTACCTACGTGATTGGTACCAATGCAGATCGATTGATTTGTTTAGAGCAGCAAGTTCTAAAATAAAAATAGCCATTATGATTGCCAACCTCCGTAGGGAGACGGCACTCTAAGAAGAAGATTACCTGGAGCTGCTCAAATTCCTTATGGCGCATTATGTGTCCTAGAAATGACGTCTTTTTAATTTTGATTGTATTAACCAGATGAGGTCGTGTGTTTATTATTTCCAGTACCTCTTCATTTGTAGTTTTGCTGGTCCAGCTTATTCTTAGCATTCGGCGGTACATCCACATTTCGAATGAATTCAGTTTGTTGACGTCATACTGTTTTAATGTCCAGGTCTCACAGCCATATAGTAGTAGAGACCACACATAACACTTTAGTGTTCTTAACCTTATTGTGATTGATAGCTTGGGGTTACAGAGCATTTTACGCATGTTCATGAAGCCAGATCTTGCTATTTCAATACGTCTTCTAATTTCTTTTGAGTGAGTTTGACTGTTTAGCTCTCTGCCCAAGTATATAAAGCTTTGGGAACTCTGAAGGGTGATACGCTTGATTTGTATGTTGGGTGTAATTTGTTCATGGGGGTTCTTGTGGAATACCATGATTTTGGTTTTGGAAAGATTAATATCCAAACCTAGTCTGTGACTTTCTTCTGATAGTATGTTCATCAATATTTTTAGTTGGTCTTCTGTTTCTGCTAATACTACGGTGTCATCGGCATATCTTACATTGTTAATGATGATTCCATTGACTCTGGCACCTTTAGGGCGATCTTCAAGAGAAGCTCTGATGATATTTTCGGCATAGACATTAAATAGAAGAGGGGACAGAATGCACCCTTGACGCACTCCTCGTTCTATGTTTACATAATTGGTATTTCCGTTGTCTGTTCGAACACATCCTGTGTGGTTCCAGTATGTATTGCTTATTATAGCTATGTCGTGTCCATCCAGCCCTACTTCTTTTAGCACCTCAATCAATTTCTCGTGTCTAATGCGGTCGAAGGCCTTTCTATAATCGACAAAGCACACATACAGCGGTTTTTAAACCTCAAGATACCTTTCTGCCATTAGTGTTAATCCCATTATTGCTTCTCTGGTGCCTGTACCTTTCCTAAAACCATATTGAGAACGACTCAGGTATTCTTCACACTTATTGTGAATGCGGTTATAAATTACTCGCATAAAAATCTTAGCAGCATGACTCATTAGGGATACAGTTCGATGGTCTTCACATTTCCTTGCTTTTTGTTTTTTAGGAAGAGCTACATATGTGGATGTTAGCCAGTCATGCGGTAGAGTGCCATGTTCATATATAATGTTAAAGAGGTAGGTTAATTTACCGACAGCATCATCACTCAGGTGTTTAAAATGTTCGGCTGTTGTTAGATCTTCGCCGGGTGCCTTGTTGTTCTTTGCGTCTTTTATTGCCCGCATAACTTCTTCGGTTAGAATACTTAGTTTTCCATCGGTATCTATTTGTGGGGCCCCTTCTGCTCTCCGATCACCAAACAAATCTTTAAGATATTGTTCCCATATTTTCTTCTGTTTTTCAGGGTCTAATTCCATTTGGTTTTTCGTGTTTGTTACAATAGATAAATGTTTGGGTTTTCATATCCTAGCGACTTCTTTCATCTTTCTGTGTAATTCTCTATCTTTATGCTTCCTTTGCAGATCTTCTACCTCTTTACATTTTTCGTTCATCCACTCTTTCTTAGCTACATTTATCTTTCTCTCAATTTCCCTGTTAAGCTCTTTGTATCTTGTTAGGTTTTTGTTTTTTACCATCCCTATCCTCTCCATAATTTGTAATATTTTGTTTGTCATCCATGGTTTTCTTTGTTTACTGTTTTCTTTCTGTATATTTCAGTTTGCTGCCTCCAGGACAGTATTTTTAATTATTCCCCATATGTCTTCAATGTTTTCTTTTATTATCTTCTCTTTAGTGGGAACTAATGTCTTAGACTCTAACTGCGTGTCTACCATGTCTTTATACATATGTTTTTGTCCCTGGTCAGCACTACTCCATGCTACTCTCTGACTGGGTTTAGCCTTGCCTACTCTTTTAAGTTTTATTCTGACAGTTGCAACTACAGGATTGTGGTCTGAATTTATGTCACAGCTTGGGTACGTTTCTACATTTAGAATACCATTACGGAACCTTTTATTAATTGTAATGTAATCGATTTGGTTCCTCACAATATTTCCTTCGCAATCTTGAGGAGACCTCCACGTATACAGACGTCTTTTTGGTAATTTAAACAATGTTTTAAGAACCACCAAGTTGTTCTCTTGTCAAAATTTAACAAAGCGTGTGCCTCGTTCATTCCTCGTTCCTAAACCGTATGGGCCGATGATCGATTCGACCTTTTCTGCTCCTATCTTTGCATTCGAATCTCCCATAAATATATTGATGTCATCTGATTTTATGTGTTTTTTAATCTTTTCAATATTGGAGTAGAAAATCTCAAGATCTGCATCTGTGCTGTCTGTTGTCGGGGCGTATACCTGTATTATATTAATGTCGAATGGTTGTCCATTTAATTTGATGATCATTACTCTGTCGCTGACTGGTAGAAAACCCTTTGTGTGTTGTTTCATGGGCGCTGTTACCAGCACTCCTATACCTGATTGGGCATCATCATCTTTGCCTGCATAATAGAATCGGTTTCCATTTATTGTATCCACATATTCTTCTCCTTTTCATCTCACCTCACACATACCAAGTATGTCCCACTTCATTCGTCTCATCTCGTTTTCAGCGTTTGCTAACTTGCCTGCTCTATACAATGTCTTAATATTCCACATTCGTAGCAATTTTAAGTTTCCTCCCTGGGATTCTTAGCACCCCTTGACGATTGAACACCTGCCGGGCACTAGGGGCCATGCATTGATTTTGACTTGCCATATTAACTATCTTGGGAATTTGATGCGATGGTTTCCCACTTGCCTTTCGCATCCTATGCCGTTGACGACGCGATATCGTTCATACGTTCACGATTTCTCCTCCCCAGGACAAGAGGATGTCCTTGCGTTATTATTAAGAATAACATTGAATGCTTATACCGGCAAACACTCGGCCCCCATCTGCGTCAGCCACCTAAGCTAACTACTTCAGTATTACTTATCTTCTACCACGTGGAGGTGAAGATTGGGAGTTTCTCTTCATTGAGCTCAAGACTGTAAAGACATTTCTTGATACTCTCCAGTACTTTAAGAAGACACACCTGCTAACCGACTAACACAAATATACCAATCCAAAAGCAAAAGATGCGAGTACAAAAATTTTCAGAAAGGCATTCAACTTACTTTAAAATATCACTTTTGATTAGCCAAGTCCGATAGGACACCACGCTGCGCTAGGAAAAACAATTTAAATGATAATGGTAATAAAGATAGCGACTTTAGTTTAAAGTCTAGTAGTGGTACTTTATCAATGAACAGTAAGTATATGAGTATTTACCTTAAATAGAAACAGCATATTACCATTATGACAGTCACCATGAATAATTACTTTCTCATCTGTAGTAGCATCGGCAACTTCAATAAGACGATTGAAAATAGCTTTTTCTTTGTTAAACTTTTCAAATCTAATTGATAAGTCTTCTCTTCCGGCTTCTTTTAATGCATCGATTATAACAATTGATTTACTCTCAATGACTAGTTTAAAATGATCGAATGCTTCTTTCATCAAAGAAAACAAGTCTTCAGAAATTATCTTAAATTCTTTTGGAGTTTGATCTCTCATTGCAAAGGCCAAAACATGTAATTTGACGTAAGATTTTAAACACAATTTGATTTGAACAGAGTTTAGTGGTTTGTCTCTTTGATGCAGCACATAACCTTTTCTTTTAAGATTTTCTAAAATAATCACGTTATTTTTGTCCTCCAAAAATGCTTTGTGACATTTTGGAACTATATAAAAGTCATCTCGCAGCGTTTTATTTTTATAAAACTTTTGATATGCTGGAAAAATAACACCATAAAAGTAAACTTCCCTTCGGCAAATTTCGTGCATTACTGGAAATTGTTTTGGAATTGCTGGATTCTGACTATTACGTTTTAAAGCTATATATACAGTTCCGTCGTGTGTAACCATACCTTCACTGGACGGAAGTTCAACTTTTGCAAAAATAAATTCTCCAACGTAACCTTCTCCTTTCTGGGTCGTATTTTCTATGGTGATGATACAATTTTCACTACCCATGGATTGTTGAATCCAAGATTTAACTTCCTCGGTAAGAATATATGACATTTTGCACTATCCAGAAATACTAACTAGCTATAAATGAGGATGTAGGTAACGGTAACACAGTTTTATCAAATATTGTCCAAATATTAAAACTTTATAGTCTCGTCTTTATCTATTAAAAAAGAGATAAATTATATCTATTTTAAATTTAATCTACAAAACACTGCAGTCACATCTACAAAAAACATTGCGCGATGTTTTATTAATTTGTAAAAAACGTTATTTTATTTTAACTATCAAATGCTGATTTATATACACCTTTGTACACCTTTCATACGAACAAAAATATAAATATACTAAATTACTAGCTTTCTACGTATAATTATAAATAAACGTGAAGGTTACGTGAGAACACAATCTGTGATGATGCTATTATTATTTTAATAGTAATACAAAGTATATACAAGGTGGTCCAGAATTATGTACATTAATTTCTAGAGCTCATAGTACGTCCAAAAATAAGGGTATTTCTTTATGTACACTTTTTTTTATAAATCTGAATAATAAGGGAGATACAACCCTTTAAAGGGGTAAATTGAAATTCTTATTTTTTCAAATATCTTCCAAATGGTTTTGAATACGGAGTTCATATTTTGGGAGTGATTATAAAACATTAGGATAATTAATTTCATGTCACCACCTACCACATCCTATATTAATACAGGGTAGTTTTGGAGGGTAAGTGGGGGTTATTGCATCATATGTTTTTTAATTTTTACATATTTTTAAAAAATATTATAAAAATTGTTTCCTTAGACATTTCTACGCAAAAAAGGTGCTCTTGTAATATTTCTATAGATATCACCGTTTTCGATTTATTTAAACTCGATGGTATACATGTATTTTATTGTAACCGTTACATTTCTTAATATTCATCATGTATGCTTTGGAATGACACTACTTGTGTTAGCAACAACACTTTAATCTCAAGTAGTCTATGAATTATCAGTGACGTTTAATAACAATTAAATTATTTTATCTACACGTTTATTGTACTCGACAGTGAAATTTGTTTAACACATCTTTTTTGCTATATTTTTAAATTTGTTTGCCCGCAATATGGCACACTATTCAAATTCTGAGATGACAGACATACTTTTAGTATTAGGGGAATGTTTGGTAAATTCTGCTGCCGCTGTAAGACGCTACAGAGAAAAGTATCCGAACAGAAATATTCCCAATGCCAGAACTTTTGTAAGTACTGAACGACGACTGAGAGAAACCGGTTGTCTTCAAAGAAGTAATACAGATGCTGGTCGTCGTAGAAAAGCAAGGAATGTTCGCGATTAACAGCAAATATTGGATGCTGTAATAAATGACCCCACAATAAGTACACGCAAGTTAGGATTAAGAACGAATATTTCCCTTCAAAGTGTTTTAAGAGTTCTGCATGAAGAGCATTTACATCCTTACCACTATCGACAGGTGCAGGAATTGTTACCTGACGATATGCTACTTAGAGTTGACTTTTGTGAAGTATTGCAAAATAAAGTTGAAACTGCACCAAAATTTTTAAATAACATTTTGTTTACAGACGAGGTCACATTTACAAGACAAGGTATGTTCAATTCTAGAAATATGCACTTATGGCATGAAGAAAATCCAAGGGCTACAATGGAAACTCACTTCCAACACACGTTTGAGATAAACGTTTGGGCAGCTACTTTAGGAAATAGTTTCATAGGATACCACATCTTTCCCGGAAATTTAAACAGTAACATGTATTACAATTTTCTAGACAATATTTTACATGATATTTTGGAAGATATTTCATTACAAATACGAAGAAACATGTTTTTCATGCATGATGGTGTTACATGAACATTTCTCTGATAGGTGGATAGGCCGGGGTGCGGATGCACCGATTCATTGGCCTGCTCGTAGTTGTAATCTTAATCCAATGGACTTTACAGTATGGAGTTATTTGAAATCAAAAGTGTATAACACTCCAATTAATACAGTAAATGAGTTAAGAGACAAAATTGAACAAGTATTTACCGATTTACAAAACGATCCAGTAACATTAAATGGATTAATGCGTTCGCTAAATAAAAGAATTAGATTATGTATTCAACAAAATGGAGGACATTTTGAACAGTTGTTGTGATATATTATTTTCGCCATTAATTAAATGTTAAGTATTAATTAAGTTTTCCATTAATTTGTAATATTATTGCTAACACAAGTGTCAATTCCAAAGCATACTTGATGAATATTAAGAAATGTAACGATTACAATAAAATACATGTATACCTTCGACTTTAAATAAATCGAAAACGGTGATATCTATCGAAATATTCCAAGAGCACCTTTTTTGCGTAGAAAAGTCTAAGAAAACAATTTTTAAAATATTTTTTTTAAAATATGTAAAAATTAAAAAACATGTGAGGCAATAACCCCCACTTACCCTCCAAAACTACCCTGTATTAATATAGGATGTTTAAGGTGGTGACATGAAATTAATTATCCTAATGTCTTATAATCACTTCCAAAATAGGAACTCTGTATTCAAAACCGTTTGGAAGATATTTAAAAAAATAAGAATTTCAATTCATCCCTTTAAAGGGTTGTATCTCCCTTATTATTCAGTTTTATAAAAAAAGTGTACATAAAGAAGTACCCTTATTTTTGGACGTACTATGAGCTCTAAAAATTAATGTACATAATTCTGGACCACCTTATATTATTGTATTAGAATAGATAAAGTTTTATTCGGTAAATATATTTATAAATAATAGTATACGCCTGACAACAAAAGAGATACTGAAAATTTTTGTTATTTCGGTATCATGACTTTTATCAAATGTATTGTTAAGAAGCCATAGTGGGCGGTGACTAGTCACCTAATACCCGGAGAAACAATGTTTTATTGTAAAAAAAGCTATATTAAAAAATCGCTATTGCGCGTGTAAAAGGAGATAAGTCGGAAAATAAGTTTTTTAAGATATAAGCCGCTGAAATATTGCAGAATATTATGATCATTTTAATAAATGATTTTTATTCTAATAAACTACAAAAACAATGTTAAACCCAACATGCAACTCTTATTTGACAAAAAAAAGTGAGCTGTCTCACTAACCCGCGAGGCCCCTTCCAAAACGGAGATAAAAACAGCTATCAAATCTCTGAGAAACAACAAGTCATCGAGAATCGATAACATTGCCGCTGAAATACTTAAAGCTGATCCGCATCTAACTGCTGAACTTTTGCTTCCCATAACTCGAGAGGTGTGGGAAACGAACCACATTCCAGCGGGCTGGAAAACAGGTAACATTATCAAGCTTCCAAAAAAAGGCAACCTCACACTGTGCAAAAATTGGAGAGGAATAACCTTGCTTACTGTCATAAATAAAATTTTCACGACAATCCAACTGAAAAGATTAACAAACAAGGTTGAGTTTCGAGCTAATCAAGCAGGCTTTAGACCAGAATCCTCCTGCATAGACCACATTAATACTGTGAGGGTAATAATGGAACAATCGATTAAATTGAACACACACCTATACATGGTTTTTGTTGATTTTGAACGTGCCTTTGACAGCTTGTCTCATGCTTCTGTATGGAAAATTTTAGAGCTAAGAAACATCCCGCAAAAAATAATTTTTATTATAAAGTCACTATATACTGATGCGAAATGCAGCGTGACACATAATGGGATCAACAGTGACGAATTCGACGTACTTACTGGAGTTAGACAGGGATGCGTGCTTTCTCCGTTTTCTAAGAATACGCAGACGATATTTGCCTATTAGGTCAAAGGTTCCAAGATCTGGCTTACCAATTGGAAACACTTTCCACTGAAGCCAATAATATAGGTTTGAAAATCAACATTGGTAAAACCAAGTCCTTGAGAATAAATGCAAGGACCAACACGCTATTTAATATCGACAATATGCAGATTGAAAATGTGGAAAACTTTACGTATCTTGGAAGTATCATAACAGAAAACGGAGGTACAGAAGACGATATTTGTATGAGGATACGAAAAACCCAACAAGCTTTCAGCACGCTCAACCCTGTTTGGAGATCTGGCGAGTATACTACAAGGACAAAGATCCAAATATTCCGATCAAATATCATGTCTGTTTTACTCTACAGATGTGAAACCTGGAAAGTGTTATTCAAAATGTTCATTACAAAATGAAATTAAGTCCAGAAAGTGGGGTTGGATCGGTCACACACTCCGAAAAAAGAGTTCCAGTATCGCAAAGACTGCCCAAGAGTGGAATCCCCAAGGAAAAAGAGAAAGAGGTCGCCCAGTACAAACTTGGAAAAGATCCATCATGGACGAGATAAGAGGCCGAGGAAAATCTTGGAATGAAATGAAGGCCTTAGCGCAGAATAGAACCCCTATGGCGCGTTTTCACTTAAGCTCTATGCTCCACTGAGGAGTTCAAGAAGCTGAGATTTTCTGATTTCAAGACACATTTTATGATGTATTATGTCCATAATTGTATATTTTAATGTGTGGTATAAATGTTGAGTGTCAATGCTTACAAAAATAATCTCAACGACTATGTCTTGAAAAAGGAATAAAACCATTCCGAAAGCTCGACAAAAAGTCAAAAGAGTGTTTTTTTAACATCCCGGCCAATATTCTGACTGCAACCCTAATAAACTATCTTGTTTGTTTATATCGACAGTCACTAATATCCAGTATTTCTTATATATATATATATATATATATATATATATATATATATATATATATATATATATACATATCAATTAACACACAATGAAAAATACAGTTATATCCGTTTATACATCGTCTTGAGTATAGTCATCTTCAATATCTGGAAGCACTTTCTCTACATTTGTTTGCGCCGACAGGCTTTCATGAAACGGATGAAAAACGTCACTAATATAAGACTGCATTTAGATTAATTTTTTTTCTTTTCTTCAGTAATGGGATTTGGAAACCTATATATTTTTAAATGTTCTTTAAAACAAGCATTTTCGCTGCGTCTTAAATAGTTTATATAGCTGAACGGTTGATTTTCGTCGAGGGTCGATTTATACGCAAATCTGCCACATTTCTTTTCATACCTTAACCACTTAATGTCTTGCCATAAAAATAGATTTCCAGATTCCCCTATTTTTTTAGTTTGTAATTTCTCCTACAAAAATGCTGCAAAGTTAGAAATCTACTTTAGTTATCTCGGTTACCTAAAATGGATTCTTATGGCCA